GTGAATAATTTTCCCTCCCTGCCTTGCCTCATAGCCATCATAGATGGCTTCTTTTATGAGGAAAATCTTTAAAAGAAATTTTTTTTTACAATGTTGGTCTCGTACAATATTTGTCCTTTTGTGATTGACTGATTTCTCCCAGCGTGCCCCACAGAATTATCTAGACTGTACTCTTTACAGAAGCAAATCAACAGGTCTTCTTTCTTCCTTGGGGTTCCTAGGTGGGTTTGAACTGCCAACCACTTAGCAGTTGACCACTTAACAGCTGTGCCACCAGGGCTCCTCATTCTAGCCATTGGGGTCAGGATCCCACACACATTTGGGGGACACATTTCAATCCATAGCAGTGGTGGCAATGGGGCCTCTGTGCTGTGGTCACTCTTGGAGGATCGGGACTCCATGCTGTGGATGATCCCCATGAGGACAGGTGGCAGGATGGGCTGACTGTTGATAACTAAGATGCTGACTGTGTGTGTCCTTCCATCCCAGGCCCCACGTATGTGCTGAGCGGGAGCTGATCCTGGTGGGCCGCCACCAACCCTGTGTGCAGGCCTTCAGCCGCACTGTGCCCGTGTGGACACCAGGCTGTGGGCCTCAGAGATGGTGTGTCAGCCATGTGAGGAGGTATGTACCTGGCCAGGTTCCATGTTGAGGGGTCTGCTCCTACACATACTCCACTCACTGTCTTGGGCTGGAGCACCCTGTCCAGTCCTTGCTGGGTCACTAGGGGACATCAGGAGGCAACGCCATGGAGGAGGCCTAGCACAGTGGGAGCCTGGGGTTTTATTGCTGGCTTTGTCCAATCAACTGGCTACTGTCCACTAGTTCTGTTTTCTCATCCATGGAATGGACTGGCAATGCTGATTGTGCCTATGGGTCTAACTAACTATTAGTGCTTGTATTAATCCCTGGGGCTGCTGTAATAAAGTGCCACACCAATCCCAAAATCCGAGCCACTGCCCTGAAGCTGATTCTGACTCACAGTGACCCTATAGAGGGCTTCTGAGACTGTAGACCCTTACAGGAGTGGACAGCCTCATCTTTCTCCCCAGGAATAACTGGTGGGTTTCAGCTGCTGATCTTGCAGTTTGTAGCCCAATGCCAAACCCACAGTGCTACCAGGGGATCCATCCTTAAAATATCATACACTTAGGGCTTAAGCCAGCGGCATCCATTATCCCACAGTTCTGGGGGACAGAAGAAGAAACTCAGGGGCTAGGGGCCACCCTCCCTCAGAAGGTTCTAGGGAAGGCCTCTTCCTTGTCCCTCCTGGCTTCTGGTACTTTGCCGAGGACTTGCCTCGACATAGGGGTTTGGTTTACTAGGAGGAGATACCTGGCGGCGGTAAAGATATATCAAGAATGCACAGAAAGAGACAAAGAGAGAGACAATGAGGCACCCCAAAGCCAGGGTGGATACATCACTGGTGGGCAGACTTGGGAGTACAGGCATCGTGGCCTCTGCAGGCAGCAACTCACTGCCCTGCAATCTTTACTGCATGCCCTCCATCTTGTAATGCACTGCAATCTTTACTGCATGCCCTCCAACCTGTAATGCACTGCAATCTTTACTGCATGCCCTCCAACCTGTAATGCACTGCAATCTTTACTGCATGCCCTCCAACCTGTAATGCTCTGCAATCTTTACTGCATGCCCTCCAACCTGTAATGCACACCTGGGGAGGCCCGGGCCTCTGTTTTATTTACGGGAGGAGCTTCACACCAAGCTGGGAGGGACTTAGGCAAGGTACAGCTAACATCAATACTTTTCCAGACATTCAGGTAACTTTACATCGTACTTCGCTGGTTTGAATCCCAGGCCCGCAACTTGGTTTCTCAGGCTCAATTAACATATCCATAGCCCCTGAGCTCAGTTGGGGGAAGGTGAGAGGTAAGGACAAAAGCTTGGGTGGAGTCCCGCTGTTTCGGCTTGCTGAGCCAGGTTTTCAGGAGGACTCGAGACGCCCAGGTGAATGGGCTGCACCTGGAAAAGGGATTAGGGAGGATGGGTTCTTTGTCTATAGAACAAAGAACCGAGAAGTAGCTACGATGTTTTTAGTTAATCCTTTGGAGAAAGGTTTGACATTGCAACTTTTACAGTCTTCGGCTTTAGGAAAATATCACATTTATCTGTGGATTATCAAGGGCTCCATGTATTAAATTAATAAATGTAACTGAACACTAAGATGAAAAACAATTTGCTATTGATTGCCAGTGGCCTCATGTGTTACACTCGGGCCTATAGGGCCTCGAACCTCTGACCAGGCCTACACGGTCTGCAATAGTACTTGCCTGTAATCCTTGGTGTCTGATTTGGGGCTGTGTCACTTCACTGTTGTCATGCTCTCCTCTGTGACTCTCTCTGTGTTCTCCATTCTTCTCATGAGGACACCAGTTACTGGATTTAGGGTCCATCTAGGATGGTTTCATTGGAGTTCTGGTGCGGCACTATGGGCTAATGCGTCAGACTGCAAAGTCATTTGAACTGCAAGGTTGGTGGTTCAAGCTCACCAGCTACTCCTTGGAAACCCTATACAGGGTCGTATGGGTTGGAATTGACTTGACGGCACTTAACAACAACAACAAGAAGGATGATTTCATTATAGATCTGTAACAAAGGATGTCATTGCTGACACAAGATGGATCTTGCCTGAAAGCAGAGGTAAACAGAAAGATGTTTACCTATGCTTTATTGACTATGCAAAGACTTTCAATTGTATAGATCATGACAAGCTATGGAAAACATTACAAAGAATGGATATTGCAGAACCCATGAGGAACCTGTACATAGACCAAGAGGTAGTCATTCAAACAGAATAGGGCATACTTGTTGTTGTTGTTGTTGTGATGTGCCATCGAGTCTGTTCCGACCCATAGCGACCCTGTATAGGGTTTCCGAGGGTGTAAATCTTTACGGGAGTAGAAAGCCTCATCTTTCTCCTGCGGAGCACCTAGTTGGCTTAAAATCAGGAAAGGTGTGCACCGCAGTTGTAACTTTTCACCATACTTATTCAATCTGTATGTTGAGCAAATAATATGAGAAGTTGGATTATATGAAGAAGAATGTGGCATTACGAATGGAAGGAGACTCATTTATAACCTGAGATATGCAAATGACACAACCTTGCTTGCTGGAAGGGAAGAGGACTTGAAGTACTTACTGATGAAGATCAAAGATCACAGATTTCAGTATGGGTTGTGCCTTAATGTAAAGAAAACCCAAATCCTTACAACTGGAGCAATAAATGACATCATGACATATGGAGAAAAGACTGAAGTTGTCAAAGATTTATCTTTGCTTGGATCCACAATCAACACACATGGAAGCAGCAGTCAAGAAATCAAAGATTGGTGGAGACCTGGTTGGCCAGCAGTGTGGCAAGACCTGGAGACTCTTGGGTCCAGAGTCAGTGACATAGCCACAGAAGACTAGAGTGGAAAGTGAAGCATCCAGCTGGTAAGAAGAGAGGGCATATGCATAAGAACACCCACACTTGCAGATTATACCCACTTGACCTGGCTTCAGTGGCTGGATGAACAGAGCTCAACCAGAAGAAGAAAGAAGAGGAAAAAGAGAGTAATCTGATACAATTTGATGAACTTGACCTACACCTATAGATACAGTAGCTCAAAAGAGGTAACAAATCTTTACAGCAAGGACCATTCCCACCTCCTCCATACAGAGTAGACAGGGATGGGCCACTTGGACATTGGCTACCCAAAATGGGTGGGTGGGGTGCTACAAAGGCAAGAAATGACTGTCTTACAAGATTTCAAAAGGGATACTAGATCCAGAGGGCGTGGAGGAAGGTAGAATCTCCACTGAGTAGTATCCAATCTGTCTGGACGGGGCTGATGAAGGGAGATGGGGATAGGTCTCTTGTGGTACAATAGTGAATAATTGTTATCAGGACTGATTGTGAGGGTTGGAAATGTAAAGGTAGATGTTGTGTAGCAAAAGGAGGGGAGTGGCTGACTTTGCAGTTCAGGAGTGGAGGTCCCTGGGACCATCAAGGGAAAAGAGCAGAGTGCGGGACCCTACCCAGAGAAACAGTGACGCCAGAGATGGAGGCAAAGATGATGATGTGGAGAGATGGAGTAGCTGGGGACTCTAGACCCAGAGAGGGAGAGAGGCTGTGTGCTGACAACCGAGGGGCAGGCTTGAAGGATATGCCCTTTGGTTGGTTGATGATGCATTGGAGGGGATTGTAATCATGGCAATGAAATGATATATGATAGAATGAGTATAAAGCTAATGTTCTCCCATGTAAACTATCACATAATTCACAATAAAACATAAAAAAATAAAATCAAAGATTGTATTGCATTAGGCAAATGTGGATGACCTCTTTAAAGTGTTCAAAAACAAAGATGTCAATTTGAGGACTAAGGTGCACCTGACCTAAGCCATGATATTTTCAGTTGCCTCATATGCATGTGAAAGTTGGACAGTGAATCAGGAAGACTGGAGAAGAATTGATGCCTTTGAGTTATGGTGTTGACCAAGAATATTGACCATATCATGGCCTGCCAGAGGAATTAAGAAATCTGTCTTGGAAGAAGTATAGCCAGAATGCTCGTTAGAAGTGAGACTTCATCTCTCCTACGTTGGACATGTTATCAGGAGTGGCCAATCCCTGGAGAAGTGTAGGGTCAGTGAAAAAGAGGAATACTCCCCCAATGAAATGTATTAACAGTGGGCTCAAACATAGGCACAGAGTCAAGTAGTATTTGATACTGTTGTGCATAGGGTCGTTATGAGTCAGAACCAGCTGAACCTGGGAGCACCCTTCCTTAGCTGCCTGGCACAGGGCAGAACTCAGAAATAGGTACTTGTGAATAGAACATCTGCCAGGAGCTGCAGGGACAAGGAATGGCCTTAGCTGCCTACACGTAGCATTGGAGCCCACGGAGGTCATCTGGGCAGTTCTGGCCTCATCCCCTGGTCCAGCCTGCACAGGGGTTGCTGAAGCCCACTCTGGCCTGACCGCCTGTTCTAGGCTATAGTTCCTTCCATTTCAATATAGCCGACACTAAGCCCTCTGTCTCAGAAATGAGGCCACTGAATGCTAGAGCATACAGGCATTGTGGTTATGGCTACACAGGGAGATTAGCGTGCTGAAATATGAACTCTGATCTGTATGACTCCATGTCCAGAGTGCTGGCCATGATGCACAGAGCCTCTGTTGAACTCCTATTCACCCATCAAAACCTGGCCCAAATATGGCCTCTTTTGAGAAGCCCTCCCCACCTCTGGGAAGCCAACAGCTGCCTTCATGGTATCTTGCCTCAGTGGCAGATGCTCAGAGCTTCAAGGGGCGTGGTGTGGCAAGTTAGGCTGCTGTGGTAGTGGCAGTGATGGGATTAGCAGTGGAGGGAAGGATGTGGCAGGGCGGGGACGGGGTGGCTCAGGACATCCCCAGCAGTGAAACTCCAACAAGGAGCCTTGTGGGCCTTGGGGACTCAGCTCCATCACACCCTAAACAGTACTGTCTCCCAGCAGTCTCACCCAGCTGAGGAGACAGCAGGGATTGCCCCAGACTTGTAGCTGCCTGGAAGGTGATTCCAGGGGCTTGGACCAGCCGTGAGGACCAGTAGCTCTTGTTATTGCTCCAACTCACAGCAACCCTATCGTAACGTAACGAACACAGCCTGGTCCTGCGACATCCTCACAATCATTGGTAAACTTAAGTCCATTGCTGCTGCCACTGTGCCAATCCAGTTCATTGGTGGGTTCTTCCTTTTTTTCACAGACTCTCCACTTTACAAAGCATGAAGTCCTTCTCTAGGGACTGGTCCCTCCTTATGAGAGTCTGGCCATCCTGGCTTCTAAGGAGCATTCTGGCTGTACTTCTACCAACATAGGTTTGTGTGTTCTTCTGGCAGTCCATGGTACTTTCAATATTTTTCTCTGACATCACAACTCAAATGCCTCTTGGCTAGCATGGCGTGGCGGCTGGAGGTCTATAAGTAGCAGGTGTGGTCCTGGGTACGATGGAGCTCCTTCTCGGGGATTCTCACTGTCTAACAACCTCTAGTTTTGTTTGTTGTGCAATCTTTTCTTCCTCTAGCGATTCCTGAGGCCTGAGGATGGATTTACCAGTTGGTCAGAGAAAGGCACTGAGTGGCTTGAACAGGTGGTGAAGAGGCAGCTTACTTCCAGTGGGGCCTGTGGGCAGTCTAGGCCATCCCTTCCTGCCAGACATACTGATGAGATGCCTGGATTTGTATTCCTTGAAGGGGAGCTGTGGAACAAGGAGTTCATAAGATGGAATTTGAGACACAGACCTGGGTCTAGGTGTTCATGCTGACAACCTGGGCCAGGTTCAGAGCCTACCTGGGCCCCAGTCTCCCCATCTGCAGAGCAGGGAAAATCACTGGGTGGCACACTGGGCAGGATTAAGTCACCATCCCAGGTGGACAGCAAGACTGTCCTGAAGAGGGTCCCACCCCACCCATGAGCAGCCTGCTCTCCGCCTGGATATGCCTCTACATGAGGGTCCCTAAGACCCTCTGCCCTGCTACATGGACCGAGCCCCTTCAGCCCTGGACCCTGTGTCTGCAACTGGGGCTGTATGAACTTAATGGAGATGTGCTGTTGGCTCTTGAAGGGCTGTGGGGATGATGGGCTGACCAGCCACTTTTGAGGGTCTTTAATTTGGAGGGTACAGGGGAGGGATTGTCCCGGTGACTGTGACTGTGACTGGGAGCACACAATTTCTGCTGTGTGACCTGGGAGAGGATAAATATTTATGATGGAAGGGCCCACACTTTGGCTGCCAAGCATTGTCATGCTGTCGGCTGCACCCTGAGCCTGCAGTTTCATGTTCTGCCAAAGGGGTCTTCCAGGCTGCCCCCCCGCCCACACTTCCGGGAAGCTTGCAGGGGGGTTCCTGGTTGCTTGTGGACTCTGTCCTTCCCACCTGGAGAGGAGCCCAGTGAGTTGCCAGAGGGACCTGTGTCCCCTGGACATGCCGTTCAGGCTGCAGGGCTCCGACGACTCAAGGGTCCTGGACCCTATGGCTGCAGGCAGGCCTGGTCCCAGTCCCCCAGATGATAAGCACTGGAGAATCTTGGGGTTTCTGTCCTCCTCCATGAACACCTGTGTGACCTGGATCAGGGGCATAGGCCACTAGAGTGAGGGGACGTGGTGTGGGAACTAGAAGCCAGGAAGATGGCAACTCCTTCCGATGTCACACTCATCCCCTTGAGCAGCAGAAAGGGCTCGCTGGATGGCCAAAGACCCTGCCCAGATGTGGCCCAGAGGGAGAGGAGGGGCTTAAGAGCTCTGGAATGTGGGCACAGACAGGCCAAGGGCAGATTGATCCGGGGTGGGCAGGACGCCCCAGGATGGTCTCACTCAATGTCCCTCTATTCCATGGGCAGGGTAGACAAGTGCCTGGTGTCTAAGGTGGTACCACCAACTCAGTGTCAACACTGCCCTGACACTGGGCACCGGGTGACATTTCAGGTCTGACCTTCCCCCGTCTCCCTACCTTCTCGGCCTGGCCTGACAGTGAGAAGTGGGTGTGGGTGGGGCAGGGGTACCTGTGAACCCTGGCTTAGAGGTGGGACTGCTGGGGGTATGGGGGCTGGGCCAGGCTGAGGGAATGGGAGACCCAGTACAAGGGCCACCACCTTAGCCTCCCTCTTCTCATGTGACCCGAGCCGGTAACCCCCACTGCACTGAGTCAGGACAGATTGGCAGTTACCCTTGTAGTCCTACACCTTAATACCCCTTCTCTCTGCTTTTCTAGAACCTTCTACTACACGGCCTACAGGCAGGTATATGCCACGGAGGCCCGGACACTGCTCAGATGCTGCCCTGGGTGGACCCAGCGGCCTGGTGACAAAGGCTGCCTCTCCTGTGAGTACCCCCTGAGCCCCATGATGCATCGACACGAGTCCCTGTCATGAGATCCCATAAATCTGGGTTCAGAGTTCGGTATGTGCCTAATGAGGCCACAGACTCCATACCTCTGCTTGTCACAGGGTGTCACATGGTGTTGTAGGGAGAAGAACCTGTGTTGGCAGGAGCAAGGAGAGAGAGCAGAGTGGGGGTGGGGGTCACCAGGCTGGTGCCCCAGTGTCCGGTAGAGGAGGATACAGGCCTCTTCAGAGCCAGGATTTGGGTATCTCTTGGTTCTGGGCCCCTCACCCAACCACCGGCCACACCACACCCTTCCCCAGCTCGGCTGTGCTCTGCTATGGCTGCCTGGGTCCAGACCAGGTGCCCTTGGACCTCTATAGCTCAAGAGAATGGCTCTTCTCCTTTCCACCCCCAGTTTCTGGCAGCCTGGGCTGGTGGACCTACCTGGTCCTCAGGGTCCACTTCTGCAGAGTGGGTCCCAGAAAAGGTCCCTGGTGGGAGGTAGCAGTGAGGAGCCATGTGCCCTCCTGTCCCTGCAGCTGCCTCTGTGCAAATGAGGAGGCAGGCACAGACAAGCTGCAGAATTGTAAGTGGGCAAGGACTGGGGCCAGATATCTGAACCTAGCAGACAGCTGGGGACACAGTTTGTAGGTGAATGGGGAGAGGTGGGCTGGCAGGCTCATGGGGTCAGCCGGATTTGCAGGTGAGCACAGACAAGTGGACTGGCAGGTGAGTAGGGGCAAGTGGGCCAGCAGGTGAGGCTGGCTGAGTAAGAGGAGTCAGTGTCTCCCAAGAGTCAGCCCAGAGATCAAAGGATCTTGTCGCATAGGCCAGGCTGCCCTGAGATGGTGCTATGGCTTCTCTGTGTCATAAGGTAGGGACACACCATGCCATAGGGCTGACCGAGAGGGGCCAGAGGATTGGACTGTGGACCTGTGCCCTCTCTTCCTTCTCACATGGGAATGGGGGTGTTGCTGGCCGGGGCTGGGCTCGTCCTTGTGTGAACTCAGTGAGAAGATGGGAAAGAGAAGGCATGGACTACGTTTTTCCACTGGAGGAAGTGAATGATTGTCTCTGGAAGGGTGGAAGAGGAAAGGGAGAAGGCAGCTCCGGCTCCCCTGCAGCGGGAGACAGGTACTGGGTCTCAGCCAACAGCTTCCCCGGCCCCTCAGTCTCGGGTGGGAAGTGGCTCTCTCTCATCATCATCATCATCATCATCATCTTCATCATCATCACTGATCTTGCCTGGTGCATCCTGCCTCCCCATTGTGGTGTTTAAGGGAACAAAGAGGCAGTGTTTGATGGTAGGGAGGTGGGGGTGGCTGTCAGGGCAGCATCAAAGCAGATGTCTCCCCTGGGGTTCCATTCCTAGGTGAAGGTCCCTCAGGCCTCCCGAAGGGGGTTCTGATCATCAGGTGAAATAATAGCAGAGCTTTGCAGCGGCTGGTGGGATAGCCGGGGAAGTGGGGTCATGAGGGAGCCTGGATGGAGACATTGACTTTTCACCTTCAGGAAGGGACAGTAAATTCATGACCACATGGGGCATGGGGGCTGGTCCACCCTCGGGGCTGGGGGAGGGGCCAGGCTGGAGTAGGTGGTGTGTTTGTAGGTACTGAGCCCATGCACAACGTAATTCCCATTGCTACTGCCGCTCCACCTACCTGAGCTGGGACTTGAGGGAAGACTACAGGAAAGAATCTAAGGCAGCCCTAGGACCAGGCAAAATGACCACAGAGCATCTCAATAGGAGATACCACTCACAGAAACAGGGAAAGGGAAGGGGTCTCCTGCTGGGACCCTCTCCAGACAACCTTGGCCTACAGTGGTGGAGGAACTGGGCTTGGGGCAGCTAGGGATGATGTGGACATGGCTAGTGGAGTCTCGACCCTGGGACTCAGGCTATCACAGTCTCTGTGAGATGCAGTACAGGGCCCCCTCATATGCCCCAGACTTGAAGTGAGACCCCTATGTACATCCCAGGCTCGAGGCAGGATCTCAATGTGCGTCCTGAACTGGAGGGTCTGGCTTTCTTAGATGTTTGTTTAGAAAAGTTCATTTTTAGCACAGGATTTACTTAATTTTGGGTTTTACTTTTATTTGTTATCATGAGCCCAGAAAAGCCCTGTGATCTGGCTTCTCCGGAAGCTAATTTGTTTGCTTCCACTGTTTGGTTCACAGTGTGGTAAGGGGGCAGGTGGGTGTGGGCACACATGGTGTGGGATTGGTTCACGTGGGCCCAGAGGGGAGCCGAGAAGTTCCACAGTGACCATGTATTCATCAGTCCAACCA